TGGTCAAACAAAAGATAAATTTAAAAAACAGTAGTTTTGGGGATCAAAGCATGGTTTAAAGAGTAATAATTCAGTTACTGCTAACCAAGGCATTTTCCTTATCCAGCCTCAATTTTCTCAGTGGAAATGATGGGCTGAATTAGGCAATTGCTAAGGTGCTCTCCAGCACTAAAATTTTCTAGGTGTATAATGATTTTAATAAATTTCAATAAAAAAAAGAAGTTTTCAATAAAAATTTCAGGTATACCTTTTTTCCTCTTAGAAAACCAGACATCTGTTTCAGTCAAAAGCTGTTTTAAAGATCCATTCCAAGAAGGCACAAGTTGGAGGAACATCCACTAGGTTAAGAAAGTAAATAAGAGAAAAATGTCAAAACTTCAGCCTATTATGATTTTACAATTTTCAAACTGTCTCCCCCTTAAAACATAATATCTAAAAATTTTAATTTTCACTACAAGCAATTGAAAGAAGTAGAACTATTACATGACATGCTTACAAGCTTTAAATTAATCATGGCATTAATCATTGTCCAATAATAAAAACTAGGTGAGTGTGCAATAAAGAATAAACTAATCCTTGCCCAGTCAGCATGGCTCAGTGGTTGACCATCCAACTATGAACCAGGTCATGGTTTGATTCCTGGTCAGGGCACATGCCTGGGTTGCGGGCTGGAATCCCAGTGTGGGGCATGCAGGAGGTAGCCAATCGATGATTCTCTCTCACCACTGATGTTTCTATCTCTCTCTCTCCCTCTCCGAAATCAATAAAAATATATTTTTAAAAAGAGAATAAACTAATCCTTGAAAGTATTGATGATCTCAAATACATTGTAGTTTTACAATTAAAAAGGTAAAGGCTTAATATATATTACATTAGAAAATTTATACGAATTTTATACTAATTTATGCTAATTACTAACTCGATACCAATTTTATACTAATTTATACTAATTATTAACTCAATTTCACTACATTCTATGTGAAATTATAAATGTGGGAAATTAAACAAGGGAAAAGGAGTTTCTTATTACCTTATTGCTGTTGAGACAGTATACAGAATAGTAAAGAGCATGGACTTTTAAATCCTGACCCTACTAATTAACAGCTGGGCAAATTACTTAATTTCTCCAGGCCTTAATTTCTTCATTTATTTAATGAGTATAATATGTCTACCTCACAGAACATTAAAAAAATTAGTATGTGTAACACACTTTGAATAGTGCTTGGCACACAGTAAGCATTTATCATTACTGGCATAACAGCAGTTAAAACAGGAAAGTATGAATGCTACCAGTGGCTCAGAGATAGAAATGAGTTATTACCCTTAAAAATGAGCTACCACTCCTTTAAAGATTAGATAACCCCATTACTAAACTTTCTTGAAGAAAAATAGGAATCACATCCTATCATAAAAACAAACCACCACAATGATATAACTAGAAGGTGTTGCATTCCTAGATTCCAAAACTGTGTTAAATGTAGACTCCATGCTGGGGACAAAAGGCTAATGGCAAAATTATGCAGTGAGAAAAGCAATGGATTGGGACTCATAATACCTGGGTTCTGCCTCAAGGCTGCCACTTAGTAATTATAAGTATTCTAAGTCTTAGTATGTATAGAACAAGAATAATAGAAATGATAATGATTTTTAAAAATATGTATTTTATTGAATTTTTACAGAGAGGAAGGGTGAGGGATAGAGTTAGAAACATCTATGCGAGAGAAACATAGATCAGCTGCCTCCTACACACCCCCTCA